ATCTGCCTGTTCTGCTCCCCACTCTGTCTCTGGCGAATCCTCTCACCACCCTTGCACCTCTGGCCTGTCCCCCAGCTCTGTATGGATAAATAAATAAATCTTTAAAAAAAAAAATTCTAAGCTCACTATTTCCAAATCTAAGTATTTATAAACATTTGTTGATGTCTAAGATTTATTCCCATAAATTAACTTTTAGAAACTCAGTTGAGAAATTTATAAAGCAATAGCTATGGCTGTGGATATGTGTCACTTATATGAATTATACATGTAATGAGAGGGCCTCCCTGGTGCCATTAATTTAATACTGAATTCCATGGACCTAATTAAAATCCTAAATCAGTCAAACATATTTCCCCACTGACACCAGATCCAGTCCACAGCCTCATTGTAACACTGCCTAGACATGTTAGTATCTAAGTTAGTGCCTACTGCAAGGTGAATTAGTACTCATATGAATGAAGAAATGTTAATGAATAAACAGTTAAAGTTGAATGAAAAACAGACCATCAAAAACTAATTTGAGCATCATCTAACTTAACTTCCTAAAGTGAAAAATGAGTAATTTGAGTAATGAAATTACTCTTTGATACAGTTAGTTGTCCCTCTGCTGGACATCCCCTGGACATGGTGTATGTGCAGACAAAAGCAGAAAAAATGAATGAGTAAATTACTGAATTATATTTTTTTGAGGTGACCAACAAAGACTTCTGTCCAGTTCTCAGAGAGAATAGGTGTTTTACCTCTCAAATATTATAGTACCAGCCCTCTCAACTCCTACCAGTTTAGTTAGGAGTTATTATTTTGATCACTCGCCCATATTTTGAAATTCAGTTTTATTGGCATATAATCACAGATAATACTGTGTAAGTTTAAGGTATACAGTGTGACGATTTGATAGATTTGTGAAATCACCATAGTAAGTTTCATTAATATATTCATTGCCTTATTTAGTTATTTTATATGTGTGGTAAGAACACTTAAAATTGGTTCTCAAGTTTACAATACAGTACATAAAATAGAGTTGCTATGCTGCTCATTAGATTCTCAGAACTTACCACTTCAAAGCCTTTTGATGAAAACCCCAACCCTCTGTTTTCTCTACCCCTGGTCCCAGGTAACAAATCAATCTATTTTCTGTTTCATGAGTTAGGCTTTTCTAAATTCCCATATAAGTGAGATGATACAGTACTTATCTTTTTCTGTCAGACTTATTTCACTTAGCAAGCCACCTTCATTTTCTACCATGGCATTAGTTGTGGGATTGCCTTTATTATGCCTAGTAATATCTATACCTATATCTATATTAGATGGAATTTTCTTTGTCACTGTCACTGATCTGTCAGTAATCATGCAGGTTACGTTCATGTCTTGACTGTTGTGAATACTGCTAAAAGGACCATGGGTGGAGCTGCTATGTCTTCAAAATACTGGCTTGATGTCATTGGATATATCCCTAGACTTGGGAGTGCTGCATCATATAGTAGTTCTATTTACTAACTTTTGAGGAAAAGCTCCATATTGTCTTCCATGTAGAAATTTACATCCCCACCAAGAAAACTCACAGGTTCTCTTTTCTCCATACATTTTCCTTCCTCCCTATTTCTTCTCTCTCTTTTTAAGATTTATTTATGTGTACAGAAATGGGATACAACAGAGATGCAGGGGTGGTGAGAAGATTCACCATAGTCAGAGTGGGGAGCAGAGCAGGCAGACTGACAAAATACACTGCTGTGGGGAGCAGCAGGCGAGACAGGAGAGGTCTCTACACCATGTGGAGCATCTCCAGGGCTGGGGATCGAATTTGCACTGAGCAGCCATGGCTTGGCTTAGCGTCCCAGTATAGTGCTCCAGCTCTCTTGGCTACCAGGGAGGGCCCTATTTCTTGTCTTTTTGATGATTAGCAATATGAGGAACCTGCAATCACTGTGTGTCTTCTCTGTATGTCTAGGTTTTATATGCTCCCTTTTCTTATTGTGTTACATTAATGCCTTATGTATAAGGGACATTAACCCTTCATCTAATAATATTGTTTGGAAACACTAAATTCATCCCAAATGTTGCCTTATTATTTTGTTGATTTTTTTTTTTTTTTGCTGTGCAGCTTTTTAGCTTCATTTACATTTTTTGTTCCTACAATTATAGTTATCTTTCAATAAATTGCCAGACTGAAGTCTCACAAAGCTGACCCAGGAAATGTCATTTAGGATTAATTTCCTTCCAAATTAAAACATTCCTATGATGAGCTGCCCAGTGAACTAAAGTTGCATTCCTTGACAGTCCTTAGCCCCACCCAACTGATCTCTTGTATACAGAAATGTGAGACCTTCTAATACCAAGAGCTAAATGCATCTCTGCAGCCTTGCCCATGCCTTCACTTAGCCCATTTAACTTTTTACTGCAACCTCTCTGAAATGGGGTGAGTGCTGCTATCATTTAAAAGCCGCCACAAGAGAGCTACTAGAAAAACAACTCTAAAATCCATCTATCCTGTTGAAGCCAATTGTCTAGGAATGGCATGAATAGACAAAACTTCTTGGAGGGTCAGCTGTGTATATTTTATCTTTTTTCGAATGTTCAAGTGGAAATAATTACCTTAAAGCTTGAAGTGATTACTGATTACAATACCGTGATTTCCCTCCTTGTGTGATTCATAAAACTCATTTGTGGACTTTGATTTACATAAGTCTTTAAGAATTTTGCAATGTCGACTGTGAAATTTGAACTGGATCATCTTTCTCCTGAAGGCTTCAGACAGGAGCATGCTTCCAATTCAGATTTTACATTAACCTGTTTGACTGAAGTTTCTGATGATGCTAGTGAATTGGAACTTCCACACTACAATTCTGTTCCCACGGGTAAGCTCACTTTTATATTGCTGTTTTTGAGTAACTTATGTTTGTGATTCTTTGATGTGAAATATGTAAGAAATAATTGTTGATGTCCCTTACATTTTGGAGTGGTTTAACTGGTGTCAGTTTTGAGTTAGTTTTTTCCCAGAAATATATAGATTTCTGCAAAAAGAACAGAGGGTTTTGCCAATAGGAAGAAATATCAGATGATAAATTCAGTGAACTCAAAAAAATGTTCATAATGTTGTAAATATTGTTTTGCTGAGTATTGAAACCTGTCAAGGATTAATTTTGTTTTGGGATCACAAAACAGTCTTTCATGTGGAATGGTTCATTTTGGTGTAACAGATATTTTATTCATAAATTTCAGGAAAAATCATTTCCATTCATCTCTTTTATAAAATTATGTGAACAATGCTATGTACTCTACCTTCTGGCTAACATCAAAAGTATATTCCTTTTGGTTATGCTAATTTGTGACCTGATGACTTAGACTTGATAAAATTCAGTGTAGAGAATGATTTTTAATGTTGTGGGTGTTTCTTATTCAGAATTGTACTTCCATTCCAGGTCTGCAACTTTGAGGGAACGCAAATAAATTAATATTTTGCACTTATCAAGAAATTCTGAAAACTTGGTCTATGACAAATAGCCATGAGATGTCAAAATGAGTTAAGCATAGCTTAGCTATATGCCCATAGCTCTGGATAGTACTGGTCATTGTTCTTTGTCTAGTGAAAAGTACATTCAGATAAAAAAAGTTTCATGTTGCAACTAAGGGATTCACCTAGTGAATCTTGCTATGTATTTATTTTGAGACTTTTGTGAAGATTTATGTAAATTCCACCCAATTGCTGGTGTGCAGATATTTTGGTATTACATGTAATCAAAAGCTCTCACACTCTTGTAGCTTTTCTTTAAAATATAGGAAAAAAAGATATCCTTGCTTTTTGTTGTTCTTGTTGTTGATGGTCATACTGGGTATTGAACATGCAGTTTCAAAGTAGTAGAGAAGTCATTAGACTTGGAAAAGAAAAATTGGTTTATTGACAGAATAATAAACTGCCCCAGTTGTGATTGAATACTCATGTCATAATCACCATTATTTTATTGCCACCTGTGTTCAAGTTAGTACATTTATTTCATTAAATTGAATGGTTGACCTATACACCTACAGTTTAGGTATGGGTCTGGCCCCAGAATCTCATGCTATATAGAATCTGAAAGATATTTCCACCTTGGCAGTTCTTCAAAATCAACACGAAAAAAATCTAAACTCACTAAAAATCCTCCTTCTCTTTATGCCCTTAATTTTGTTGATTACCTCAGTCATCTCAACCATTCCTTAGTTTTATTGTAACATACACTTAGTGTTTACTTATATGCATATTAGGAAAGTGTTTGCGTTCTCTGCTTCTATCTACCACTAGAGCCCCTGTACTCATAGATTGCCTGGTAATATAAGATTCTCAAAAATATGTCCTGAAGGCCCTCCCTGGTGGTGCAGCGGGTTAAAGCACTGCACTAAGAAGCTTAAGTTCAATCCCTGCCTGCCCCGGAGGTGACCACATGGTGTAGCAGACCTCTCCTGACCTGGCCGCTGCTCCCCTCAGCAGTGTACTTCGTCTATCTGCCTGTTCTGGTCCCCCATTCTGTCCCTGGTGAATTCTCTCACCCTCCGCATCTCTGGCCTGTACCCCAGTTCTGTATTAATAAATAAATAAATCTTTAAATATATATATATAGATATAGATATAGATATGTCCTGAAATACTAATTGAATGACTGAGGGACTGAAAGATTGTCTTCTTCAGTTCCTCTAGTGCACACATCTACATAGAGTTCTCCCTGATCTCACCTCCATATTTTCTATAATAAACCTCTTGTCAGTTAATTGCCAGAGAGTCCTTCCTGGGTCATCTGACCCATTTGTACATTTGTTCCCAACTTCTTTAAGTCTGTGTCATTGAATTAAAAACCTCATGCTCTGGTATCTAGATCACTTTTTCCAAAATTTATCTAACCATGGTAACTTGCACAGATGCTTTGCATTTTCCAGTCACTGCTCATAGTTAGTTAAAAATAATTTCCAAAAATTATTTATCCTATAATATATTTATCCTAGTAATATATTATAAAGATAAAAAGTGACTTCACAAATATCTACAGTGAACGCTCTATACACAGAATTTTTTACTATCACTAAACTTTAACAAAATGTTTGCACTGTGTTTTTAAATGACCACATTTCAACAAAATGTATTTTTTGTTGAAAATACATATGCTCAGACGGGGTTTCTCATTTAAAAATGTTATGAAAATTCTGGAACAAAATGTAGTTGTACTCATTCACTCAAAATCTATTAATTGAGCATTTATGATGGAGAGAGTTGTACCTGTGTGTCTGTATGAAAATGAAAATAAAGTGATAGTAGATGAAGGGAAAGAGGGGTGTCCTCCTAATCTTAGTGAGGTGACAACATGATTTTAATCTTCATGTGCATATTCCTAACAGGAAAAATAAATTATAACAGATGAATGCTTTTCCATACAAAGTTGAGCCAGTCAGTCCAAAGAGAAATATATTCTGTTAATAACAAATACACTACACTGTATCTTTCGCATATATAATAACTTGATGTAACTTGTACCTACAAAATCTCAATAGTTCCCAGCAGGAATTTTTATAATGATTGTTCATCAACTTATATACTTGCCAAACTGTTTTTTCTATTTTTCTTATACCTATCTACATATTACCTAAGATCAGTTTAAAGTCAAACCCTTCCAGTAAAGCCCTCCTTCTGTCCTTTATAAACAACGTCTTATTTCCCCTCTATTAATGCCCAGCATACTATTTCCATAGCATTTATATCAATATGAACCTTTATTTTTGTATTTAGCATTGAATCTAAGTTTTTCAGTTGTTAGATATTGGGTGTGGTTTTCAATATAACTTTATCACAAAGTGAATAAATTCCCAGTGGATTAAAGATGTGTTGCATTTCAATTTTACGCCCCCCTCCCCCAAAAAGATCAATGAATGAAGAAGCTAAATTACTTGTTTTTAATATGACTTTATAATATGGACCAGTTGACAGAAAACTTCACTTCTTTTGTCAAATATTTTAATATTACTTTGATTTCCTAATGGCTTTGTCTAGGGCCCTTTAACTAACCAGTTGAGACACAACCGTGTCTCAAGAAGAGCAATCTGTGTTTATATAATATGCATACTTTGGCTATCCAGGTAAAATGAAAATTCAGTGCTGTGTGATGTTATAAAATGAAGTAGCCCCAACACCATATTTTTTGTTAAATGCCTGCCAAAATTATGCTAAAAGGAATTGAGTCCATCTACATATAATTCAAAGTGATGAATTGAAAAGTGGCCTTTCTTATAATATAAAAGGAAGTGCTAATGGAAGTATTGATAAGTGGCCATTGCATTATTGCTCATACCTTGTGGAGCTCATTATATTTAAGAGACAGAATGAGATTGTGATTGAGTTCAAGACAGAGATAGATAAACTCCGGATAAAATTCCTGGTAGGATTTTTAAAAAATATTTTTAGACTAGGTCTCAGTACTTTGATTTACCCATCACTTTGCACAAATAAAGGCTTGTGGTAGAATATTTCCAGTGAGGTTTTTAGGTTGGCATAATAAACTGTAGCCACAATCTCAGGCTTCAAATGCTAAGTTAATCACCTTGTCAGGATTATTGAAAGATGCCTTGCTTTTTGTGGGAGACCTCTTTTAGCGTTCCTTTTTTTTTTTTTTCTGATCAAGGCCTACTAACATTAAGCCAGGCACACAGCCAGACTTTTATCCTTCACTCATGAAATTCTAACAAACTCTGGCCTTAACCTCTACTCTCGAGGTTTCTGACCCTGTATCCTTCTGCAGCTAAAATAGAAACAAAGCCTTATCTTGAAGTTTCATGCATCCCAAGGCAACAATGAAATTTTCTCTTCCTCCCACTAAGAAGAAAATTTTACTTAATTTGTAGAAGGAGGAAATGGCTAATCTTAGGCTGTTTATAGAAAACCCTCCAAGGCTTGCCGGTTGCCCAAGTCTGTCTGGTTCATTTCTATTTTATTTCTATTTCAGGGTAGAACTGGATTGGGCCCTTCATGTTTCCATTTTCCATTGCATGTTGGAATGGGACATAGACATAAATTGATATTGGCCTAACCACTGAGAGATGTCATATTTTACCCTCTGGTTAGAAACAGAGCCAAAGATTCTTCTACATTCTGAGAAGCTAAAAGATATGAAAGCTGATGATATTAATGACATCCCTATGCTCTTATATTTTCAAGTTAACTTGGGGCCAGATATCAATAGATTTGTCTTTATATGATGAAAAAAAAATTTTCAGTAGATGATTTTAGGATTAAATACATTAAGCCTATTTTGGCAGTTTTAAATAACATTTTTTTTCTTTATAGAAACTGTTAGACACGTTTATTTTAAGAAACCTTTTTTTTGGCCACATTCTAATCAGAAATAGGATAGTAGCTGATAGAATCGCATTCTCTGGAAGTGTGCCTGATGCATTTATGACCATAGATTATTTCATTGATTAACAAGGGTGGGCTAAGCTTGTCCAATAGGAGTGGGATTTAGAGTGTTAGTTGAGAATGCTGGGCTTACCATGAGAGCTTGAAGAAACAATATGAGACTATAGCTGAGACTTAAAGAAGTCATAAGAAGATAGTTGTGTTTGATGGGAAGCGATTTGTACAGCATCGTGATGGAAAAAAGCCAGAGGACTCAAAATCAAGAGATAAATATTATTGTAATGTTGATTATGAATTAGGTTCTAACTGAAGCTAGTCAGAACCTGAAGCACAGTTAAATTAAGTCCATTCTTGGGCCCCTCCTGATGGCACAATTGGTTAAAGTGCAGCACCATGAAGCAGTCCACAGTCGCTTCACTGTAAGTTCAATCCCCAGCCAGGAAGGTGACCCACATGGCAGATCTCTCCCCACCCGCCCGC